ATATGACAAAAATACAATATGAGATAGGATAATTGTTCCCAGTGACATCACATGCCACATTTGTCGTCCCAAAATCTTCCAATGAGAAGTTTGCAGAACGAATGCAGTTTGTCCTGTGTGGGACAGTGTTGCTGCTAATTTCTGGCTGATTGTGGTATGTCAGTGTTAATACTTGAGAAAATTGTGGTTATTCTGTATTCTCCAGGGAAGCTTTCCACAGGTTTACTGCACAGGAACTAAACAGCACCAATTAAAGTAATTATTAGGAATCAGACCAAAATGTTCTGACTTTGGATAAAGTACTTTAAATTGTTTCAGTTTAAATTGTACACACAATTGACATTGGCATGTATTCGATTGTTTCTTTAAATTGTCGGAATGAAACCTATTTCTTTATATCAACAAATGTACAGGGTACAAATGGCCCAGCAGTTTTTCTTCGTTTAAATGTAATTAAAATGACTTATGTTTGCTTGTGCAGTTCATTGCTAACTGTGTGACATCTGCGTACTTACATAGAGTTACATAATGGCACAGAAACAGATCGTTCAGTCCAAGTAGTCATTGCCTGTATTTATACTCCACTCAAGCCGCCAGACCTCCTATTCCCCTCAACTATACCACCTCTATCCTTCTCCCTCAGCTAAGCATCAAGTTTTCTCTTAAATGCACTGATGCTGTTTGCTTTCACCACAGCTGTGTCTGCTCAGCTGTGGGTGTTCTTTTGGGTCCTTTGCAACTCCCAGGTTGTGATACTGCTGGAGGAGAGATCAGACATTGAATTCCACATTGAGGGAATATGAAGCGAGTCTGATTGATAGGGAATGTCACTGACTATTACTTCTGCCTTAGGGACAGTCAGAATTTCTACCATCTCACCGCAGGGTAAGAATGAATTTTGTTGCTCCTGATATGACACTACCACAGGCGTGATACTGACCAAAGAATACTTGTTCTGCCTAAGTAGTTCCAAATAAAACTATACTAGATTTTACAGAGCATTCGGTTAATCATCTAGCTGGTTGAGAAGAGTTTGTATGACATCCTGTATCTCTGTTAATCCATCATTGCAACACAAGCTGCAAGCAATTCCCAATCTCTGCCACATAAGACATTGAATGGATTCCAGCCTCTGTATCAGCAAAATCCAGAGATTGCAGAGTCCATCTCAGCAGTGAAACTATTAAATTCAACAGTGAAACAGATCCTGTTGCTTTGTCAGTTATATTAACCCATGCCACTGACCAGTCCTACACCCCTAACCTCTGGAATTCCTGCCTCTAACCCTCCACCTTGCCCCCTGTCTCTGTCTTTAAATCCCACCTCAAAATCTATCTGTTCACTTACATCTATGGTCATCTCCCTGTTCTCCTTTGCTCGTTGTCCAAACCCGTCATTGTGAATTGCTCGGCAACGTTATCCTATGTGAAGGCCACTATATAAATACAAGTTGTTGTACTTGTATCCATTGTTCGTTTCAGAAACCTGCCTAGTAGACTGATCACTTCCAGACAGTAATCCAATAACCATACAAGCCCATGAATGAGCTCTGAATGTCCAGCATGTTTATCTTTACCACTTACACACTGACCCTTGCCATTGGGCACGTTAGAATGCAATTCATACAAATTGTGCAGCACTGAACTTTATTGTAGGTCTTCATTGACTGCTTCCTGTTGATGCAAGGGAGTGATTTTACTGAACTTGGGGGGAAAAGGTGGCTTGTGTACACTTCATCATGTACATGTGCTACCATCTCGTTCAAGCGAAGGTAATGCCAAGATATACTTTAACTTCTGTAGTGTTATCTATCCCTCTGGCCCCGCTGAGCTTTAGTGTTATAATATAACAATAAACAATCAAGGTGTTTGTCTGTATATATTCTAAATGCTGCCTCAAAAACCATTTGTAATGAATCGTGAATTGTATGACAGGTGTTACTAGTCCCAGTAATAATAATAATAAACTTTGCATTTGATATAGCACCTTTTCATGTTGCTAAAAGTCTTGAAGCATTTCACGGGGTTTATTTAAAAGTGTTACTGTTGTTGTATGAACCTGGCAGTCAATTAGATGGTTAATTTCTATGCTGCACAAGCGTTTTGAGGCATCCTCCTGACCTGAAAGGCACTACATAAGTTGCATCAGTTGGGATCTTACATTTAATATGACTTATGAAAAGTATGAGTTACATCTATATGCATAGAATATAAACTCTTGAACGGGACTTGGGCAGATGTGTGACTTAGGCGATTATATGATTTATACAGATCAGACTTATGCGAGTTTTACTGTATGTAACAGTATATTGCTCTTAAAATATTTGGACTAACAACATTCCAGTAGCTGTGTGAAAGTGACCCGAAGGAATGGACTATAGCTTTACCCCTGCTTATTCCAAACTCCTAAACAAGAAGCAATCGACCAGAATGTTCCAATTACATTCTGATTTCCCCTTCACAATAATCCTTGAATTTGATATTGTGCCAATAATGTTGAAACATCTCAAAGCACTTCACTGGGAATTGCTATCACCTGCAGTACAGTGTAGTTGTAGGAAAATGCAACAGCCAATTTGATCGCAGTAAATGAAACGAATGACCAATTTTATCTGGATGATTGTTGCCCAGAACACAGAGAGAAACTTACTTCACTTTTCAAACAGTGCATGGGATATTTAATGTCAACCTGATCAGACAGACAGGGCCTGGGTTTAAATCTCATCTGAAGGATACAGTAATACATTATTCAGAAGCACATCAGAAAAGAGTTACCCTCCTTGACTTACTGTATGAGGAGTAACTTAAGCCCTTTTTGCTAGCATCCAGCCACACTTTCTACCTCTTCTCATCTAATTCCTACTCCTTTATGAAGCTCAACTAGATAATAATAGTAATAACAATAATAAATAATAATAATAGATCTCATAATGCTGCACTAATTGTTGGCCTGTCTCGGGATACTGGGAGACGGGTACATAGATTTAAAGCTAACTGTAGTTTTAACTAACTTTATTAAAAACATTGATATTTCTAACAAAGATTTATTTAAATATCGACCAGTTAGGCAGTTGTGCTTCTTTTCAGTGAGGATTCTCTCACAGGCTACTCGCTCTGTATGCTGCAGAAATACTGAGTAATCAAATAAGTACCCACATAAACATCCACCCTGTAATACAGCAGCAATTAGATTTGGGGGGGGAATCTGGGACAAGACTTTGTTGTTGGGGGGCGGGGAGAGTTAAAGTTGTTGATGGGAAGGCATAGCAGGAAAGGTGGAGAGCTAAATTATACCAGCCACAACACTGAGAAACATACAAACTTGTTGAAAATACTGCACACAAGATATTGGAGCCTTCAGCCATACATAAAGCATGACTTAAGGGTGTGGGTTGGTACTGGTTCTGTGGTTCTCATCCAGCTCTGCCTGCTTATATCCTGTGGGATTGCTTCAAAGCGAACGCCTTCAGGATGAAAGTCCAGTAGACGCTATCAAGATTTAACTAAGATCCATCATTCTTCAATGCTTATTACATGAGGAGAGTATGACTCTCCAAATCCAATGATATCCGAATGTCATAGGCTGCTCTATACATTAATAACAGTTGCAAAGAGAACCATCCTGGGACCCTGGGGATTGACAGATCTTCCTGCTACTGAAGAATGAAACCCTCATTAGGGAGACCTTTCAATGCAATAGAGCCCGCACCAGAGCTGAAGGCCTCTGGGGACTAGTCTTGGGGAGAAAATATCCTGGTATTTTTTAAATCAAATATACAGAGGAACAGTAGTAGATGTGAGGTGCTCCTCAAAGATTGAAAGGTCCCCTTTCGACCTGCCCTTTTTTCCCCCTCCGTCAGTACCTGTCTCATAAATCGAGTGCTTGCAGCTTGTTGTGAGAATGATCTTTCGTTTCTAAGCTTAATGTGATGTATGATGTTGTTTCAAAAGAAGCCCGACTTGAGAAACAGCTAACATTGTTCCTGCAAAAGTGATGCAATGTTGTGCCAGCCACTGCATCAAAGCTGAGAGCAATTACCTCTCAGTCAACTTTTACTCTGCAGAGATTTCATGAGAATTTCCAGTTTTGAATATTTTACTTAGTTGTGTCCCAGTAAAGCATTTTTAAGGCAAACACATAGTTAAAAGAGATAGTGAATATCTTATAATGATTTTAATTTTGATATATTTTTAGTATATTCACAAAAGTATTTTATGTCCAAATGAATCAAGTATATATTTGAAATCTGGCACTAATAATAACAACAGTACAGGTTTGATGTAACCATTTGGTCTCTCGATAATCCCCCCCCCCCCCACCCAAGGTCCAACTAACAACAACGACATATTACATTTGTATCGCACCTTTCACGTCGGGAGGACGTCCCAAGATGCTAGACAGTCAGGGATTTGGACCGATCTGGGGGTTGGGATAAGGCGAGGTGGAAGGCAGGAAGGATAGCAGTAGGAGAGTGACCGAAGGCGCGGTCGAAGAGTAGGGTCTTGAGACGAGCCTTGAAGGAGGCAAGTGAGGGAATGAGGTGAAGGGACAATTGTTGTAAATCTGTTTCTGTCAGCCTGGAAATGCCTTTGCACCCTGCAGAAAGAAATACCTGAGAAAGTTCTTGTATGTATTGAATGCTCCTGTACAAGGCCAATATTGACTGCAAATGTTTGTTCTGTGTACAATGCATCCTTCAGCAATCTTCTGCATCACAAAATCTGCTCCGGTTCGGCTCATTGAGAAAGGAGAAGAAAGTTCAATTGAACCATCAATTTCTTCAGTTTTGTGCAGATAAAAGGAGATTTTCCAACTTAGTCCACGATCCTGCATTATGGGTCCAGTTTTTGTTCCAACAGTTTTTGTAATACGATTATATTCTTATATTTATGTGCTAAGCATTCTCATACTGAGACACTAATATTACTTGACGTTCTAACAGGTTTCTGAAGCTAAGCTCTCATAGTCATGTGCTTCACGTTTGTGTTTGTTTTTCCAAGGTACACATTGGCAGCCCAGGACTTGGTGATGAGAGCCAGGGGAGTGCTGAAGGACCGAGGATGGAGAATATCTAATGACAGGCTGGGCTCTGGTGATGATATATCTGTATACATCATTCCCCTTCTGTATGGAAGTAAACAGACATGATAACGTCAGAATCTTGTTGGTCTTGCTTGCCTGTTACTGGTCCCCAACTTCTGGTGATCAGAATCTATAAAGCAGTACTGATTCCAGCAAGTAATGAAATATAATGAAAAGCCAGAGTATGATAAACTGCTTTTAGCCTGGACATTGTTCAGATGTTCTAGACACTGTTCCCGATCTGAATTTCTCAATCATTGATTCCTTTTCAGTTGTTATAGTTGGATGTAATTTTTTCCTGCAAATTAAATAAGTATATCCTGTATAAATTCAAAAGGATGACTATTTAGCAAAAACTTTACAGACATTGAATATTAAATTTTGGGGTCTTAACTTGTAAAGTATGAAATATTTTGATGTATATTTTCCAAGTGCTGTAATGCTACGTGGGGAAAATGCCTCATCTGTGCTGTGTTTTAGAGTTCCGCATATAATCAATATGGCAGTCTCCTACCTGATAATATATTGTAATAACGTAGTAAATATTATTTCAATTTTTTTATGGGTTTGGTAAAAGATAAAATCTGTTCGTTAATTCACATGGATATATAATTCATGGTGTCTCTGGTGTAAATACTGGCAACTTCAAGATGCGATACACAAGTCTGGGTATATTTGTAAAGTGATTTTATTGGGCTCCTGAGTACACACTGAACAAGATTTTCTGCAGGCTTTCCTAATGTCTGCTGTAGTATTCCACATATAATGCACTGCACTTGAAGGATAATTTACATGCACGTTCTGTTCTTTGTTTTTTTCCTTTGTTACTATATTCTTAGCATTGTCAAAATGCTGCCATAATCACGTACTAACTACACTTTGTTAATCTCACACAGCACTATTTAAAAGGCAGAAAGAAATACTGTATTCTCCAAGAGTGATAATCATCTCAATGAAGTATTCACAGTTTTATCTTAAGTTACTTTGAAATATTTAAAAGGTACCGAAAGTAAACTGTTGGGCATTTTTTTTAACTGTTTAATTCATTTTCGGTGAGTCTGAAATGTGAAACATTTTTATTCCAAAGCAATTTTGTGTTGAACCGCGTCTGAAGTTATGATATCTCAGTGGTCTGAGTCTTGAAAGTGCAATGAGAAAAATAAAAGTACTGTATAAGAGCTGTGGATTGAAATTTGTGTTTCATCATATTTTACATACTATAATGTAGACTACACTATATCAATTAGTTTATGAAGATGTTCTGTAAAGAAGAGAAAGTATTGTTATACTGTACAGTGATTAAATGACTTCATGTGTGGGTGCTTCATGCATTTATTTTTCTAACTACATATCACATTGTTGCAATGAATCATTTCCAGCAGGAAAGCAATCTATTTTCTACTCCAGAACTGCATTCATCAGTGAATGGGGAGAACTTTGCCTATGTGGAACTTGGCCCATGCACAGAGCTTATGCCGGTGAGCTTTAAGAACATTAAAAGATTTAGGGACAAATTGGTGAAAAACTGCTTCAGTGCAAAATACAGTAGATTTTGAATTGAGTTCTAAGAATCCTGATTTACACCGTATGTTTACTGTCAATTTAGTATAAAAATAGTGTTGAATCAACATCAGCTGTATAACGTTAGATAGAGATTAATATAGTTGTTCTACATTCCTCTTCCAGTCTTTCCTGTGAAGTCAGAAAGTGAAGAACATGAGAATGATTTTAAAATGGTTAAAATAATAAAAAGATTGCATTGTTATAGATTAACTTGAGAAAAAGTAAATTGATTTAGGAACACTCTTTAACTTTTAAGTGTGCCTCTAACAATAATCAAAACTCTGCTGAGTTTTAAATAGAAAGGGGTTTTGCATTTCACACAGTCACAGCATCAAGTGCTTTCTGACCAAAATGTAATGTTTGCACAACACTGATTTAACAATGAGGCTGATAATAATAATAATAATCCTTGCATTTGATATAGCGCCTTATCATGTCATTGAGATGACTCAAAGCGCTTCAAAGAATATATTGTAAAGTGGATTCACTATATTTTGTGGGCGATACGTGGCAGCTAATTGCACACAGCAGTTTTCCACAGACAGTCGTGGATTGAGTGACCAAATTTTAAAAGTGTACTGCAAAATTATACAACCATCCCAACAGAAACCAACTCTTTATTGAACCAAATGCAGCATTTCTATTTTCCACTATTACTCTTGAGGTGCTTTCTGAAGCCGAATTCTGCACACTGGCATCCTGTATTCCCTACCAACCTGCCCGCTCCCTCCGCTCATCGGGCTCCGGCCTGTTCCATGTCTCCCGTCCGACCCGCCCTACCATCGGTGGCTGGGCTTTCAGCCTCTCTGTCCCCACACTCTGGAACTCCATCCCACGGTCCCTTCGCCTCGCTTCCTCCCTTGCATCCTTCAAGGCTGGTCTCAAGACCCTCTTCTTTGACCTTTGGTCTCCCTCCCACCTCTCTGCCTTCCCTCACCCCGACACCACCCCACCTCCCCCATGCTCAAGCCCCAACACCTGACTGTTCAGCGCTCTGGGACATCCTCCCAACGTGAAAGGCGCTCTATAAATATAATTTTGTTGTTGTATTCATACATTTGGGACCAAGGAAGAAGTAAGACAATATTCTAATTGACTCTGCTACTCAATTCTCTATTACTCTCAATATTTAATTGTCTCTTGTCACTCTAAAACTCATGAAATGCACATCATTCTACTAAAGTGAAAATTATCATTTTAAAAAGCATTTATGCCGATTATAGGGTTAGAAATTCTACCTGGGTCCAGATTTACTCTATTTCCCTAGTATTAAGAACATACAGAATTTGGAAAATTGCTGACTTTAGTCTTCATTTTGTAGTTTATCCTTTTTTGTCTTTCTTAAAAGAATTTACAGAAAATTAACTTCAGAATTAAGATTGGATACTCTGAAATTATTATCATGTACCAAACTGCATTACCCCCACCCACCCCCCACCTTATGTTAAAAAAAAGACAGGAAAACTTTACTTTAAAGGAATGGAAAGTCTTGAAAGAACAAAAATTATCCAAAATGTATTTGCAGACATAATATGCAAGTGACTTGCAGTACAATGTGGCTATCCATGAACTGACCTGTCACTTGTCATAATAAACAATGCACCGTATTCATCTGAAATGACACAAAACCACACGTTCACTGACAGTTCCTCTGGTCGTAAACTGTCTTTAAGATATTGGAAACACTTTGTGCTTCTGTGAGCAAATGCCCTCAATGCGGCGCGCAGAACTACAAGAATAACCTTCTGAATCTTCGTAGTTAGGGTGGAATGTGCAGTCCGTTACATTCCAGTACATTTAACAACAAGCAGGTTATTGAGAAGTCATAAGTCAATTTACCCAAGTTGGTGACGTGCACTTATAATGAAAATATTCCACTGAACAGCACTTGCATTCAGAACCAACATCTCGTTCCAACAAACCTTCTTCCCCACTAAGCCTTGCCTATCCTAAAATCATGCAATCAGCTGATGTGCCAGTCAGTGCTCTCAACGACAGGCTATGCAGTTTTTATTGGTTAAATTCAAGCAATACCCCAGTGCACACTCCAGGTTCCCTAAGTCTTGGCTCATGTCAACTTGTACCTAGACAGGGTGCGAGTTGACAGGGTCCAGGTAGAGAGAGTATGTCGCTTCGAATGCGAATTCCGGAACTCTCAATCGGGTTTGCATACTCTTAAGCATGGAGTTGGGTTTCCACATGTGTAAGACATCTGGCTGACCAAAACAAAACCTCTTTTAACAACACTGAGTTAAAAAGATCTTTAACCAAGCCCCAAGCTGGTATTTATTGAAACAATATGTATAAGTGAATTCACGGCAGTAATTGCTTCTGCACTTTATAATGTGATGCAAATTCCCTCATTGGATTAGTGTGTGGTAATTGAGAGATATCCATTATTCTTTGCATCAGGTTCAGGTCACTTTGCAAGTGAATTAACCTATTGTGTGTTGAAGATACATAATCAAAATTACTTTCATAGTGCAGTATCTAAAGTTTCCATTCATAAAAAAGTCACGTGCAATCTTAAGTAGTAGGTTGTTAAGGGAAAATCTAATGAATAGTTAAATATCATCAATATGTTTATTGAGAGACTGATAATCTTTACATTTTAAATTCCTCATTAAGAATTAATCCAATGTGTGTGCATCATTTGAGATGACAGCATTAAGTGGGCAGCAATAAATAACAAGTAGCTATTTTACTGGTTCGAAAGGTGAAACGTATGAATTTAATGCTGTGACTTATTCAACTCCCTCTATAATTTATGTTCTGCTCACTCACCATTTGTAATATAATACAATATAATTTACATTGATATGGTACCTTTCACGTTTCAAAGCAGTTGACAGTGCCAGGGCTAGGGAAGAGAAAGATGCCCGAAAGAGCGGGAAAAGAGTTACGTTTTGAGATGGGCCTTGAATGAGGGGAGGGAGGGAGGGAATCTGAGTGACTCAGATTCTTCATTTTGTTTCCACAAACGGCTTTTCCTCCAGCCCCCGCACTGTCTCGTGCGGTGTCCCTCAGGGCTCTGTCCTCGGTCCCCTCCTCTTCACCCTCTATATGCTCCCCCTTGGTGACATCATCCGCAGACATGGGGTTAACTTCCACATGTATGCGGATGACACCCAACTCTACCTTTCCTCCTCTACCCTCAACTCCACGACCACCGATGTCCTGACAGCTGCCTGTCCGACATCGAGTCCTGGACGAGAGATAACTTTCTCCAGCTCAACGTGTGCAAAACTGAGGCCCTCCTGATTGGCTCACGTCAGCGCCTCCGCACCTCAGGCGCTGACAGCATCAGCATCCAAGGCTGCACTCTCCACCTCTCAAAGCCAGTCAGGACCTCGGGGTTCTGTTCGACCCTGAGCTGTCCTTTCTTCCTCATATCTGCGCCACAACTGGCACCGCCTTCCATCACCTCCGGAATGTCGCCAGACTACGGCACTACCTCACCCCTCACGCTGCTGAAACCCTGGTTCACGCCTTTGTCACCTCAAGGCTGGACTATGGGAACTCTCTCCTCGCCGGCCTTCCCGGCACCTCCCTCCACAAGCTGCAGGTCATTCAGAACTCTGCAGCTCGTGTACTGTCCCGCACCAGGCTTCGGGACCACATCACTCCCACCCTCGCTCACCTCCACTGGCTCCCCATCCCCCAGAGGATCGAATTCAAGATCCTCATCCTCATCTACAAGGCCATTCACGGCCTTGCTCCCTCCTACCTCTCCGACCTACTATCCCCCTACATACCTGCCTGCACCCTCTGTTCCTTTGGCTCTGGTCTGCTCCACGTCCCCCGCCCCAACCGCCCTACCATCGGTGGCCGGGCCTTCAGCCTCTCAGCCCCTGGGCTGGAACTCCATCCCCCAGTGCCTTCGCCGCTTCCTCCCTTTCCTCCTTCAAGGCCGGTCTCAAGACCTTTCTCTTTGACCGTGCCTTCAGCTCCCCTCTCGACTCTCTACCCCCTCCTCGCTCCCTCCCTTACCTTCCCTCCCCCTGACCATTTCCCCCCTGTTCGGGTCCTGACCCAACTGTCCAGCGCCTTGGGTCGTCCTCCCGACGTGAAAGGCGCTCTATAAATGAAATCTTGTTGTTGTTGTTGTTGTTGACTCCGGGATGGAGTTCCAATGAGCAGGAGCAGAATGGCTGAAATCCCATCCACCGATGGTCGGGCAGATACAGTGGTCTTCACACTGCAGCATCCAATTTACTATGAGGTACACAAAAAGACACAGTAGATTCTCCTCCTATTTCCCCCCATAAGCCTTCTTCAAGATCCATCTTAAGACCTTCCTCTTCGACCATGCCTTCGGTCACCTTTCTACCCCTACCCTTCCGCCCTCCACCCACCTGATCCCAACCACCAGATCGGGTGCGGATCTCTGACTGTCTATCGCCTTGGGTCGTCCTCCTGATGTGAAAGGTGCTATAGAAATGTAATTTGTTGTTTTTGGTGTTAATGTTCTGTGAGGGAATCTGTCTCCTATTATTCCATGTGTTCACCAATTCCTTGCACCATTTTTGATATACCTAGTGCTCCAGGTATATTACAAGATAGAACAACAGGGTGCATGATAGCTCAATAGCAGAAATCATGAGATCAAGTGCAA